GCTCAAAACCCAGCGTACCTGCGCACCCATTAATATTTGATGGCCACACAAATGTGCCTTTCGGATGCATATTCTGCTTATCCACAGAAGGTGAGAGTGGAAGGAACCAAGACTGGAAGCACGAGGACCAAAGAATGCACAAGAAGCTGCCAAGAACAGCACCTGATGTGCGTTGGACCGGCCAGGGAGAAGCAAGAACCTCCCAACTGAACAGCTCAACTGCAGTGAGCTCTGGCTGGGCCACATCCAGGGCCCAGATGGTTCTTGGTCACCCTGTGGAGTGCAGGAACAAGCTCTTTGTTTCTAACATGAGTATCTGTCAAGTTTGATCCACCTTGAGTTTTGTGGTCTGCAATGTTTAATGCATTAAAAAAAAGTGAAGTCACAGACTGATGAAGCAATTGCATCCTGAAAATCAGGAAGCAAGTAACAGGGGTTTCCTTTACTGCCACTGCCCTCAAATAAAACTTCAGTGGCACAGGATAGAACAACGTTTTCTCATATAAAGCCCTTTCTGCTACAGTGGGACCAGAATCGGGAATCAGGAGCAGAGTGAAACTCAGGCACTTGAAAAGCAACTGAGCATTCACCTTTTCCCATCATTTTTCTGTTCCTGGCTATGCTTGCCATGAAAAAAAAATCATGAATTCAGAATGATAAATTCCTGGAAAACAGCTACTTGAGGCAAAAAAGAGGAGGCATCACTGGCTTCCCAGTGAGCTCTCTGGATGCTGTAATACCAGAGCATTTCTCCCTCCTGTGCCTCAGCTTCCATTTCCACAACCTCTGTTATAAAACATCTGAACTTACACATACAAGCTGGAGGATGGGAGGCTGGGAAGCGGCCATGGAGAAAGAGATCTGGGTGTCTGGGTTAATGTCAAATTTAACCGGAGTCAGCAGTGTGCCCTGCAGCACAACGGGCCAGATGTGTCCTGGGTGCACGAGCACAGCACCATGAGCAGGTCGAGGGAGGTCAATGTCCCACTCTGCAGGGCACTGGTGCAGCCCCACCTTGAGTCCTGTGCGCAGACATCTTCCTGTTGCTGCTACTTTGTCTGCAGTATGGATACAGCTGCTGTGGTCCAGTCCTTCTCGCATAGGAGCACAGCCAGGTTCATCCAACTTAGATACATTATTGACAGATGTTGCCAAAAGGGTGCAAATTTATAAGCTACCTCAGAGCAGTTTATTTCAATTATTTATTGGATTATGAAACAACTGAAACCTTCCCTTGACATCTACATACACATTTAGCAAAAAAGTAATGGAGGGAGAAGCTCTGAGAGAGTTAAGATCCCACATTCTGCTATTTGCTTTCCACCAAACCACAAAACAAAGCATGGGAGGAAAGGGCTGATCACAATGTTAACAGATACCATTATGCTCCCAAGAAGAGATAAAGTTCTTGAACTGTTAATAGCTGCCACTATGCAAAACAGTATCTATTTTAGTTTTGCTTCTCACCTTCTGAAGTAAGGCATTCCTATTCATGTTAAATAGACATTACAAAGCACTCAAGAAACACAGCCAGGATCTGCTAATCCCATTGCAGGAACTTCATCTTCTAATCAACAACATTTGAACTATTCATCTTTCAAATGATCACAGCATTTTGCATCATCTCTCAAGGACATTCTGAATGTCCATTCAGCTTAATTTTCAGTATTGCTAAGCTCCTGAGCCAAATTCCCAGGTTTTGCTCTTCATGTCATTGCTCCGTGGATGCTATGTGGATGTTGCTATATTAACCTGAACCAGATTGGGAATTGGGAACAGTTCAAGGTTGTCCATATGAGTAATAAATCCAGCAGCCATGTTTTAAATGCCCCTCCCCATGGCTCATGCAGAGAATTACAAGCTTGTTTGGGATGGAGTCATCTCCTAGTTGTGAATTAACTCTGAAACTGCAAAAGAGTTAAACAATGCTTTACGTAGGAAAAAGGAGTGTCACCTGTTCCAGCCACTTACAGTTTCACTCTGAGCACAGTAATACTGCTGGGTGAGATACTTGTTTTGGTGTACATCAACCACAAATCCGTGCTCTTCTAGCTTACAGCAAGCCACTGCGCTGTACCTGCTTTCTTAGTGATATAAACAGCCATTTCAAAGGGTATGTTTGGTGATAGCACATCCTAAATCCTTTTGTTCCTAGATGTAAAGGCTGAAGTGAACCTTTCAGGGCCTTGTCATCCACAAAGAAGTGAGCACCTCTATTCTCTGCCCCTTCCACTGCCTCTGGGGACAGTCAAATTACCTTCCTTGCCACTCACATGCTCACTCAGCACCACCAAACCATACAGCACTACCTTATTTCATGTTTCAGGGCTGGAATCAGACACCTTCCTACATCAGGAACATCCTATTTCACAGCTTGCTTGCTCACCTGGCACATCAGGGACTCTCCCTCAAAGCACTGAGCTGGAAGCAAAAGCCTGGAAGAAAAAACCCTTTTGGGCAGGGAAAAAGAACTCTCTTTTATGACCTGACACAAGCAGTCAAGGAGACGAAGTTCAAAGCACACAAGCTGTCACCCAGAAGTGCCAAGCAAGAGTGAATTTGGTTTAGTACAAGGGGCACGGAAGGTTTTGGATTCATGTCTTAAGGTGTTGGGTAGCTTCATGAAGAGCACTGACTCGCCACATATGTGAAATAGAAACACTTTCCTACTATCTGCCAGAGTTTGGGAGAGACAGTGAAGCAGAAAAGGGTTTTCACCATCTAACCTTGAAGCAGCTATATCACAGGAGTCACTAATGTAAGAAGAGGTCTTGCACTTACATCAAACACCAAAATACAGGAAAAATAGGTATTTTTCAAATACAGGAAAAGGCTAGGAACAGCCTCCAAATACAACCCCAGATCCTAAGCCTCCTCTAACAGGAGCCTTGATTTCTCCTTCGCAATTTGCTGTAGGACATGAACATTTTAAGTCAATCCTGCACTCTGCAGCTGATAAGGCATGTTTATATTTAGTCTTTTTAAGAACTTTAATTGGTTATAGCAAATGCAGAATAGTCAGGATGCCCAGTGCTTCAGCACACCCTGAAAAGATGGCTCCACATTTTGTAACCAAACAAGATCAATGCCAGATGGTTTTGCCATCAGCTACTGCTACAGACCAAAGCAAGACAAAACTGCTGCAACACACAGCAAGCATGGGAGCTATAGTCTTTTACTCTTCCATGCAGACATTTATCCAAACCACACTCCCGTAATACATGTAAGAGGATCTCAAGAATAACCATACTTGTGATCGCACACCCCAGACCCAGACTTCCACTCCTACAAGAAGTGGTGCTGACAGAGTGAGAGGCATTCCAGTGTGTGGGTTTTGCTGGTTGTCACAAGCCTTGCACTTAACTGCACTGAGTCAGTACCTGGCACTACTGAAATCCTACCAACTTTCCAGAGGAAGCAAATCCAGAATGGTGCAAGTCATGCCAGGGAATTCCTGCTTCATTTGCACAGTACAGGGCTGTTTCTCTTGCACAGCAGCCAAGGGAGACATAGTATGTGGCTCCACTAGAAGAAATCCTTGGTATTTAAAGGAAGTACAGGCAAGTCGGTTAAATCCAATCTAGGGCCCTCCTGTAATTCATGAATAAAGATGACTCCAGACATACCTCTTGTCATAACCACCTCATTTCAGTAAGCTAATATAGCTGGTACAAGCCACTGTGCTGTATCATTACCCAAGACTGGGGTGCTACCAGCCAAGGCCTTCTCATGCTGGCACTGAAAGCCGTTTTTAGGAACAAGCCATTACCAGTATCTATAAGCATGTGCAAAAAGTAGTTGTTACCATTGTGTTTTATTACCACAACAATACAGAGAGATACTGAGAACAGGCACATAATCCCTTTTAATCTACCGAGCTCAGTTCATGTTCTGAGTGCCACATGTATTGTAGTGATGAGCCCCAGAAACAAATCAGAGGAGCAGCTCTCCATGGAGTGTGACATACTCCATCACCAGCATAAATAAAATCAAGAGACATAATTTTTTTTTTGCCAAGTTTAAGGGATAGCAGTATTTCCACAAGTGTAGCTTAGGGCTGTAAACCTGTATTTAACTATTATTGTGGTCCGACTTGTGCAGAATAGTCCCCAGTACTCCTTCATACCTGAAATCCAATGCAGAGGAGGCATTACCTGCACTGATCAGAACTGCAGCATTGATTTATTCCAGTCATTATGCTAAAATACACCTTAACCAGCTTCAATAAAATAAGAATCACTTGTCACAAATTTAACTAAACACAGGGGTCACCTCATTCCAGGTGCAGGAACTTCAAGCAGTTAATGCCCTGTGGCTTTAGTAGTGACAAACACCTGCAAGACTCCATAGTTGTATAACAATCATGGGGAAGCTTGGCAGCTCAAGATTTCCATGTGTGGGATAGAAACAACAAGAAGTGTACAGTAAACCAGCACCAGTAACTGGGCTGACAGCAACACAAACCATGTAATCACAGCCATTCAGATTACATCAGGGATGTGAGATTATCAGGCAAAACTAAATTTGCTTATCCTGGGATCCCTCTTCATGCTACCACAGCTACTTACACACAGCAGGCAAAGGCTCCAGCTTTCTAGATACGATCAGGAAATGTTTAAGAAACAGAATTAATTCTCAAGAGAACTCATTGCATTGTGAAGCAATTCCAGGAAAGAAAAACCGGCAGTCACATTTGAACACGCATTCGATGTGCTCCTTGTGCCTGGTGCAATTCATCTACACAGATGGGCAAAATTCTGAGCAGTCAGGGGTGCTGCTTCCACATCCAGTCACACTCCAAGGAAGGACAATGTGTTAGGCCAAAGGGTGCTTGGCTGGCTAGCTGGTCTCAAGCACAAAACCAAGTGCATTTCCAGAGCTCCCAAGTCTCTTACTAAAACAAAGAAGTTACTCCAGCAAAAGAGGTAAGTAGGATAAACTGTGATTTCCCCAGCATGAGGCAGAAAAAGAATCCCATTACACTGCAATAAACACAAGAGTTTGAGTCACCGATTTAATTTTATACAAGTCAAACTACACGTTGTATAAAGAGTACAAGGCAGTTCTAATGTTCGCTATTGCATGTTACAAAAATCAATTTAGCTAGAAAGGGGATTTTTTTGATGAGTCCTATTCCACAATTTGAGTTGGCAACTGTGGTTCAGCAAAGCCTTTGTTAAGACTAGAACTCTAGCTCAAAGACTACATTTCCCATAAAAGTTCAGACTTACACACAATAGGATTATAGTTCTCATCTGAAGCAAAAAACGTTAACATAAATGAGTCAAAAAGGAGGGAAGACAGTGTTATTTTAGCTAGTTTTCATATCCAATAGTTATTTAGAGGCTGACAAACCATATGACATACTAGTGACTTGGACTACATCCAAGAGACACATGAGTGTCTGACAACAGTGACACTGACACTCAAGGGGAAAAAAAAAAAGTCAGAAAGCTTTCCTTCTTTCAAGTAGGAAACACAGGGGGGTTCAGCAATACTGTATGATACAGGTTCCAGAGTACCTTTATTACCTTTAATACAGTCACAGTATTGGGGTGGGGGAATGTTCTTTTGGCAAGTTAAGATACAACACACTCCAACTTGGGTTTATTGCTCATCTAAAATCTTCCCAGTATTGTTACCGGTTTATGTAGTTTGCAGCCTGCTTCCACAACTTAAGCTGAAACAGAATTCTCTGAGCTGACCAGCAAGGCAATCCTGCCCTTGGCAGCAAGCTGGAACCTATAAGCTAATGATATCCATAGTTCTAAGACCATGAAGCAAGGAAAAAAAAAAAAGAAAAAATAATGATAGTTTAAAAAAAGCCCAGATTTAAGCCTGTTTATATTCAGTTTATTTTTCTTTATAAAAAACCACTCTACATTTAAGAGTAGTTAAGTTACTCCTGTGGAAATGCTATAAAATCAAAGTTTTAGCTGAATTTCTACAAAAGGGGGAGTTTTAGTGCTTTATACCACCATCCGAGCTCTTAATTTCCAATCTGGGATACAAATTAAACCTTTATGCCTCAACTTAGTTCTTAGGCCATTTGCTCCTGCAAGAGAAAAAAAAATCCCAACCTCTCAAGTACTAACATAACACTAATGGCCTGACAAGTAGGAAAGTGTTCCATAATAGTGTGCAATGTAAGAGGAGAGTTCTAGTCTTAATCTCTTGAACTAGATCTTGATCGTGAGCGAGATTTTGAACGAGATCTGGAGCGGGACCTCGATGCAGCTCTTTTGGGTGGTGACTCTGAACGAGCCTTGGCAGATGGCTGCTGCTGCGGAGAATTGGAACGAGACCTACTCCTTGACCTGGACTTAGACTTAGCATCTCCTTTACCATTTTCTTTGGGAGATCGAGACCTGGACCTGGATCTGGATCGAGACTTCTCAGACTTCTCCTTGGATCTGCTGTGAGAGCGTGAACCCCTGTCAGACTTGGGTTTTGATTTGCTCTTTGATCTAGACTTCCTGCTTTTAGATCTGGAACGTGAGCGGTCTTTGCTTCGTGACCTGGATTTAGAGCTTTCAAAAAGAGACAAAGTTTATTCTACATGAACTGAAGTGTACTTACAGCAGTTGGCAGTATCTATCAATGTATAAGCAGCAATTCCTGTACTAACAGAAAACAAGGGATCAACTCACCGAGAACGGCTTTTGGAGACACTACGGGACCTGCTGCGGCTGCTCCTACTTCTGCGACTTCTGCTTCTAGACCGTCGTCTAGAACGTGACCTAGAAACACGGAATATGTAATTTATTCCTCATTCCTTGCCTAGTGTGCTCTGCTATCTAACACAGAAAGGCTGCCCAGGAACTTCTAAACAAGTATGGCCACATCAAGTTGTACTATCAACACACCTGGATCTGATACACTGTCAATTAATTGCATCTGATGCTTTACATGTGAAAAACTCTCAAACCTGTCTTTACTGTATGTAGAGTAACTCTTTCTACATTCTTGAGCATCATCCTCTTCCTAAAGCAGCTGAAGGCCACTCCCGCCTGTAGGGCTACCCAGACCCATTTTTAGCCCGAGTAACTTGATACATAAACTGACTTGTCCCAGAAGTTACCTTGACCTGCTGCCAGAGTATGATCGCCTATGGCTTGACCGTGGCTTGTCTTCAACCAGCCTGATCTTCCTCCCATTTATCTCTGTGCCATCCAGTTTGTCCAGAGCACGCTTCATGTCAGAGTAGGATCGGAACTCAATCACTCCTTCATTTGTACGCTCTTTGTGAGCATCTGCATAGGTTACCTCACCAGCTTGCCTCATGAAATCCTGCAAAGAGTAGATGAAGAGTTGCATAACTATTCGCCACACTCTTCACAAGTACATGAGCTTAAGACAAGTCTCATCAAACACAGAAGCACTAATTACATGTAAATATTCACACACAAGTATCTCAATTATTTCCACCTAAATCAAAAGGAACATCAATTTTAAAGGAAGCCATTGCTTCCTGCTAGTCACAACAGGCTCCGTGGTGGAACATTAATACATACTTTCAAATCCTGCCAACTACAGCGACTGGAAAGGTTTTCAACAATCAGTCTGTATTCTGTACGAACAGGCGGTCCGTATTTATCTCTTCCAGATTGTCTCCGACTGCTATATCCGCCACCACCCCCACCTTTATTGTACAAAGAAATAAAGTTAGATTGTCTCCTAGCATGAAGAAAACTAAATGTTCTGAAAAAGTTAGTTAAAACAGTTATATTTACTGGAGTAGGACTTTATTTCTCTAAGCCTCCAATAAACTTTGCAATTTTGCCATGATCTACATTAATGGCAAATCAAACAGACTAAAATCCTACAAGTCTGTGCTCCTAAGTTCTGTTAGAGAGTGACTGCTCCTTATTAGATTCACCTTGCTAAGTTTTATTTTACAGAACATTGTAAAATATAAAACTTAACTGATTACATGCATTTCTACAATTTACAAAAACGTTTACTAGTTACACTAAGTACTTACATCACAGTATGAGGTTTTTGGTGGTGGTTTGGCCACAAAACACGCAAGGTAACAGTCACCTAGTTCAGTTTAACCAGTTTTGTCTAACCCTTGGAATCCTCACCATCACCCTGCGTCTAATGGCAAAAGGCTGCTGTCGTCATGGCTTCCGGTAAGGTCAGCCAAAGGGTCATAGGGCAAGGGTCACACAATGTATGGAAAAGCCATGGCCAATCAGGAAAGGCAGTCATCTTAGCCTCAGTGGACACAGCCTCAGCCCCACTGGTCACTTTTAAATTGAAACATCAAGGACTTGTTAAAAAGTTTGAATTGAACATGCAACAATTTTAAACAACATACATTTGATTCTTCTTAAGACAGAACCCCGCCCCCCCCAAAACACCAAGCTCCTAGTGATAAACCAAAGTTGAGCCTCAGTACTTTGAGGTTACAGTATGAGGCTGGTTCAGCTCTATATAGCTCAGCTCAAGAAGCTACACGAATCAGCTGAACGTGGAACTATTGACAATATCCCCCACTCAGCCCAACAGATTCCTACTTGAAAACCTCCCCCCACCCCCTCTATATATTCAACTGAAACATTCACAGCTGAGTGCTTCCACCCCAATTATGCAACAGTATTTATTAATGTAAGTGATGCGACATCACCGTTCGATTCAAATACTCCCCAAGAAAACAGAAGCTCTAAAATTAGCAGAGCATTCCGCTTGTAATGAACAAGAAACCTTTTCTAGAAGGCCACAACTTTGCAGCCACAATTGCCCTCTAATCTCCCAACCTATCTGCCCTCTTAAGTTTCTTAGGGGATACCCAAGTGCACGGCTGGTGCCAGGAAGAACGTTTGCGGCGCTAGGCCTGCAGCTTGCTCCCTGCCATGCACCGGGTACCCCCCCCGCGCCGTGCTTCCCCGAAATAGCAACCCCCCCTTTCCCCCGCTCCGCCCCAGCCCGCGGGACTCGGTCCCATCGCTCCTTCACCCCCGGCTCTGCCCTGCCACACACACAGCCGAGCCGCCTCCCCTCGCCTCCCGCCCCTCGCCCGCATTAGCCTCAGAACCACGCAGAAAGACGGGCCCGTACTCACTGCGACTACTGTAGCTATACCCGTCCCTGTCGCGGCGGGGGCCGCGGGCGTGCTCCACGATCACGCGTTCCCCGCACAGATCCTTGCCGTTCAGCTCATAAACGGCATCATCGGCGTCTCGGGAGTCCTCGAACTCCACGAAGCCGTAACTGCAGGAAGAAGAACGGCGCCATCAGCCGCCCGCAGCTCCGGAGCCAGGACAATGGAGCCGGCCCCGCCGCAGCGCCCCCGCTCCCCCCGCGCCGCCGCCATCTTGAGCGGGCGCCACGCGGCAGCGGCCCACAACATGGGGGAGGGAGGAAGGCCCCGGGCCGGGGAGGGGAGCACGGGCCGCGGGGACCTCAGGCCGCTGGACGGCGCTCACCCGTTTTTGAGGTCGACCTCGAGCAGGCGCCCATAGCCACTGAAAAAGCGCTGGATGTCCTTCTCCCGGACGTGGTAGCTCAGGCGGCCGATGTAGACGCGCGGCATGTCCGCGGCGGAGGGGAAAAGGGAAGGAAGGGGAGAAAAGAGAGAAAGGGAGGGAAGGAGGTAGAGAGAGGCGGCGAGCGGAGCGGGGCGCGGCGCTCAGACCCCCACGGTACCCCGCCTCCGGACCGCTCCGCACCACAATGACGCGCCCGCCGCCCGCCTGCGCTTTTATACCGAGAGGCGGGGCAGCGGCGCGGACGTCAATGCGTGGCTGGGAGGGAGGAGCGGAGCGCGGTGCCTACGTCATCACGCTCTCGCGAGCGGGCGTTGGCGAGCTACGGGCTGGCGAGCCGAGAGGGGTGGCTACGCGCATGCGCGGGTCCCTGTACGTGCGCTCCTGAGGGATGCTTTGCGCGATGCGCATGCGTAAAGTGGGCGGTTGCGGTGCTGTGCTGTGCTCATGCGCGGTGGAGTAAAACAGCCCCGAGTTAGCACGTTTCATGTCCTGGTTGGCCTTTGATGTGCGTTCTGAATTAGCAAAGGCGTCCCAGTACATTAATGAGCTCACGGTTTCAGTTTGCTGGGCCTCGCATTGTGTTGCTGTTTTATAGTGTGTACTGCGATGTGTAGATGTGATACAATGCAAATGTAGGGACGTGGTTACTCTACTTCTAGGCCGCCAGCCTAAGGACCGGGAGTTGTGGTGGTGAGGCCAGAGGAGGCGGCGGAGCTGCTGCGAGGGCTGGAGCAGCTCTGCTCTGGAGCCAGGCTGAGAGAGCTGGGCTGGGGCAGCCTGGAGAAGAGAAGGCTCCTGAAGGGGAGACCTGAGAGCAGCTCCAGTGCCTGAAGGGGCTGCAGGAAACCTGGAGAGGGGCTTTGGACAAGGGCCTGTAGGGACAGGCCAAGGGGAATGGCTTTAACCTGACAGAGGGGAGACTGAGATGAGCTCTTAGGCAGAAGCTCTTCCCTGTGAGGGTGCTGAGGCGCTGGCACAGGGTGCCCAGAGAAGCTGTGGCTGCCCCATCCCTGGCAGTGTTCAAGGCCAGATTGGAGGAAGCTGCTCCAGTGGAAGGTGTCCCTGCCTGTGGCAGGGGTTGGAGCTGGATGAGCCTTAAGGTCCCTTCCAACCCAAAGTATCCCATGGAGTCTGTGATTTTTCCCAGCTGCATGAAGAGCAGCTCATGGTCACCTAATGCTTCAGTGCTGTGAGCATCAATATCAGTAATGCTACTGCCAAAGACACTGCTATTGCCTGCAGATGTTGCCCTGACTTAATCTGTAACGAAGGGACTGATGAGTTTGAGTTAAAGAAGTGGGGGAAATCTTGATTCTCACTTTTTTTCTCATGTAATTAAAGCTTGATTCATATGGTACAACAGACAATGAATGACCTCTTTCTTCTCCATTATAGTGGACATTGCTTGGAAAATTTCTTCAGTTCTGTGAGTGTTTTCTGTCTGCTTTAGAAAGATTTATGCAGGTAAAGTCACTAATTTCCAGCCCTGCTGTAGTCTTTTCGTACAATATCACCAGGAGATACTTGCAGGTAAATTTAACTGTTAGCCAGGCTGTAGTGGTCAGCAGCTCTGTGTAGAGAATTCAAAAGGCTTTTTGTTAGTCTTGAGCAGCCTGACACAGAGATGTGTTGTACCTTGCCCTGAGCCTACTGAAATAAAAGCTCTCCTGGAAAAGCTGGGTTGTCTCTCACACTCATGGTCTTCAACGTTCAGCTGTTCTGTTTAGAGGACAAGCACCAGTGCTTTCTCAGGATCAGGTATATGGGAACACTATTATAGCTATTTATGGCTAGAATGCAGTAGCATCTCTGAGCCTCTCCCATGGACAGCAATATCACTGCAGTAAGCTTTGTATACACAGAAATAAAGGGTGGATTCTCCTACCAAAGACGTGCAATATAGGAAAACCCCATTTGTTTTAAGTCATTTGTATCTTCTTTGACGTGACTGCAGGTTGCAACACGTGACCATAAAGGTCTTCTCCCCACTGCAGTTGTATCCTGTTATTTGCCACTCCTGTTCTCCTGAGAGGATAATGATTCACTGGCCTAAAGATTAAAAACCTTGGATATGAGCATTCATCTGAAATGTCTGTGCTGGCACCTATGGGGTAGGAGAGCTGCATGCTAAGACTTGCTGGAAGCAACCCAATTAGATAGTTCTTGGTAAAACATCCTGTGCTCAGTCGAAGATAGTGTGCAAGCCTGTCCTGAAGTTCGAGGATAAGAAGGAAAGCTAAGCCTGTTCTTAAGGGCTTCCCTGTAAGAGGATGCTCTTCAGGATCAGAGCCTTAAGTAACTGCCTTTCCAGAAAGATCTTCGGTACTTTCCTCATGGCCCATAAAAGCTGCTCTCTCGTAGGTGATAACACTCATTTCAATGTCTCTGCAACTTAGTATAAGGAATTTCTTTCCCCCTTCCAACAGGGAAAAAATAAATTCTTCATACAGAAGCACTGTTTGTGTATCCTCTGAGCTCCGAGACCTCAGCTGGTATTTATATCCCTGCCTTTTCTGGGGAGAATATCCCCACATGATGCCCTAGAAATGGATGAAAACCAGTCTGGTCAGGGCCATATGGAGCACAGGTAGTCCCTGCACTTTCTGACCTGGTTTTCTGCATGCAAAGAACTGAGCTGGGACTTCCCCATCCTGAGTGCTGGGATGTCAGGCGGCAGCAAACAAGAGCAGATGAGGGAGCCGGTTCTCCTGTAATGAGACAATCAGATAAACCCACTCCCAAAAGCAACACTGGGCTGGGGAAAGTCCCAAAATGAGAGCCTGCTTATATGATGGCCCTCTCTGGGAGGACATCTCAAAGCTTTTGACAGATGGCAACAGCCTTAGGGGACTTGTTGGCTGGGTTAGGACCAGCCTGATGCCAAGAAGGATAATGACAAAACCTCTCCCTATTCCAGAGCATTTTAGGGACCTATCTGACCAGCCTTGGCTATAGTTAGAATGGTTTAGCCCTGTGCTTTCTTATGTCTTATGGTCTGTTGGTAATCCTGGAAGGCAAGAAGTGGCTGTACAACAGTGACATAGTGACCAGAGATAAACCTCACCTCTTACACAGTCCAGGCAGGCTGGTGGACGTTGCTCAGAGATGCACATAAGATCCAATTACCTTCTTCATCCTTCTGGATTGGTTCCCTCATCCCAGTTCCCTGACCTCTCTCTGTTTTGTCCTGTTAATTTTGATGCCCTTGACGTAACAATCCTATTTCTGATGTGCATGAGCACACATGCAGCTGCGCATTCAACCTCTGAATCAATAGCCTTTCTCACACAGTGTTGTGAGTGCTCCTGACCCCTGGGAACCCAGGATTCATGTCTCAAATGCATTAGTTTTGTGTCCTGATCCATCAAATCAGCTGGCACTACAGAACTGGAAATTGCAGCTCTGTAGTTCAAACCTTTGGTGCTTTTCCCTCGGCACTTCAGACAAAGAGAGAAATGGGGAAAGAGAACTATCACAGTCATTTCATACCACTTCCATGGCAGAAGGTGGGAGGAGCATCAGAAGAAGAAATTACAATTAATCTTTTTTCCTCCTAAGGGCAAAAGGCTCTGATCTCTCCATACAAAGGTCTGAAGTCTGTAATTATTCAGTCTGTGAGATGTGAAGCAGAGCTCTGCTAATCTTTCATGGGCCTTTTATTGGTAGTCCAAGAAAAAATAATCACCTGTAATTTGTGTGTCTTGTTGAGGGCTAATATTTGGGCAGTGATTATTCCTTATAATCTGTTGTCAGAGGAGCCCTTGGTGTGAAATTCGTGTTCTTTCTCCAGCCCTGCCAGCAGCAGGTTAGGCCATATGTGAGTGTCTCATGAAAACAGCATAAAATATGCATATCATGAATTTATTATGCACCAGCTGTTTGTGGCAGGACTGCGGTGTCTCAGGATGCTGCTGTGAAGTGTCTGCCTCTGTTACACTTCCCTCTCCCATCACCTCATCCTCATCACACCTCTCTTGATGGAGAACCCAGTTCTGAACCTGGGTGCTGCTCAAGAGGAAAAATGGGCAGACTGGCAGGTTTTTCCACCTTTTCCATAGTTCCTTTGTGTGAATCCCATAGGCCTTAATGCTGAAGGGCAGATCTGGATGCACGTGTAGAACATGGGCAAATTCAGTTCAGGCCTTTGGCATCTGGAAAGTGTGATCATTGGGTGTTTCACTGCAGACAGACCTGCATCTCCTTTTTGGCTGTGGGGAACAGAGGCTTAGGGAGGCCAGGGGCTGTGAGGTCTTGCTGTGGCTGTCTGCAAGCCCTATCTGCAAGGGTCCCTTCTTCTCGCACATGGCTCCTCCTCCCCAAAATTCAGGGTCAAGGAGTGTTGCAGGGGATAAAGTTCTCTTCCGTAGGATGGGGGAGGAAGGCAAACTGACAAGTGCTGTTACAGAGACAGGCCACTGCAAGTCAGCATGCTTTAAATGAACGATTTCCTATGGATTTTTAGTCCTCCACCTGCACAAACCTGTTAAAACTTGAGAGCTCAAAAAAGCTGCTGTCATCCAGTCACAGCACAAACTAAAACCTCTAAGTGAACCAAGGCACAGGAGATGTTAACAGGATCTGTTGTTCAAACAGCTCGTTCTTCTGCTGTGCCTCAGGAGCTCCTTTGTTCACTGGATCAGCCTTGCCATGGACTCCTGAGCATCATTCCAAGCTTTGGACCAAAATGGGGCCTTCTGACACGTGTATAGAGCTGCTGAACTGACTGTGACTGTTTCTGTGCATTAGTGACTAGGATGTGACTTTCTCCTACTGCTTTATAGCAATATATGAGTGAATGTCCTTATAAGCCCTGTGGCTCCCCTCTGGGCATGGTCTTTGAACACCCAGATCAGGACAGCAGCAGAGCACAGATGATGCACATGGGTTTTAGTGGCTTTCATGATGTACATGTGCTATAGAATAAGGGTGGAGAATGTGCTGGTTTTGGCTGGGGTAGAGTTAAATTTACTCACAGTAGCTGGTATGGGGCCATGTTTGGACCAAAGAGGTATTTCATACCACTGGACATCATGCTCAGCATATAGACTGTGAGAAGAAGGAAGGGGGGAGGATGTTTGGAGTGATGGAATTTATCTTCCCAAGTCACCATTACACATGATGGAGTCCTGCTCTCCTGG